AGTGCTGTGAAATACAGAGATAACGTAAATAAGGATTATAAATGTTAAGGTTATGAGAGATAATGATATCGTTGTTAAATACGTTTAAGTATTTATTATCAGTTTATAAACTATACTATAAAAGTATTATCAATATGTACAAAGGATTTGCTATGGTGTAAGTTAATTAATGTCTAGTGTTATAAGAACTGCGATGTAAATTACTTAGGTAACTTGTAACGATATCAAACCTCTGAAACATAGAGACTAGATATAAACAAAACCATGTTTATTTTATCATCAATATTTCAGCAATCACCTATATAGGTAATTAAAATTGCCGGGAACAGTTTATACAAAAAGTTCAGTCTCTGTGGAACACTTAATCTATGCCCCACAACCCGCGACGCTCCCCTCCTTGCGCGTCGTGCTAACCTTGAAAATAGTTTTTACCGACACGAGGGTATTCACCCCGAACCCAAATTCCGGAGTCCACTGCACACTGACGGTTTTCTTGCGATGCAACTGACGTTCTTATAAGATATTGCGTCGGTTACCATAAAACCCCCAGTGTGTAGCAACATTTACGCGATCAGGCAAAGGATATTTGATTGTTGTTTTTTTTTCGACGAGTCGTGTGTTTAGTGCTTTGTATGCACAAGAAACAACGCCGAAACTTGCTTTGATTTTTTATTAGAAACTGAAGATTTTTCTTATCTATCTTAACTACATAGTGATTTTATAAGAACAAAAATTAATATATGCAGTAAATTCATATGATTACACCATTTGTAATTCTGTTTTTAATAATTAATTAATTGAAAGTTTTATATGCATTTTAACTTTTAAGCATATGTATAACCTCTAACACAAGGTACAATCTTATTTGAGCGCGAAAACTTGTCAAACTTCGTAAATAATAATGGCGTGGAATGTTTTGAGAATAGATTTCAGTTTGATCTTACAGAAATTGATGAATATCGTCATACATCACGAAATCTTTTCAATATACAGTTTTATAATTTAATTAAATAATACTAAAATTACTATAAATATGAATAGTTAAAAAGAAACTACGCTACTACGCAGTATGCTTGGCAATCAGCGTAAGTAATAGATATAAGGTAATTACCTATTTAATTAAATTTAATTGACTTTGATTTGAATCTAAACTTCAATTGGCTTTGGTACACATTTTATTAATATATCGAATATTTCTTTATTTACATAATTCCAAGATCTGACTAGTTTTATTAAAAAAAAAATCGAATCTTTTAATAGAAACCAGAATCAGTTTTTTAAACATGTACATACATATAGCAAACGAAGCCAGGAAACGACAAAAAATAAAGAAAAGACCTCTCGCCGCCTACGCGCCGTGGTCACGGCCAGAAGTTACTAATTACAAATTACAATGTCAAAATCAACGTTATAAAAGATAAAAATCATTTAAACCTATTTATGCTGATTTCAGGAGTCTGTGACCAGCAGTGTCATTAATTTTGACAATTACCACAGCCACATAGAATGTTTCCTTTAGAACTACGCCATTTTACTGTAAGTTTGCGCTTTTAGGCGCCAAAATCACTTTTAAAATCATAAAATAGGATAAGAAAAATTATTTCAATCTCAATATATTTTTATTGAAATGTCTGAATTTAATTATTATTTATGATGTATGTAAATGTACTACTACCGACTATCTCCATTTTAACTCCACAGACTATCTAAACAAACAAAAAAAACTGATCAGGGGGCTTAGTCAAGTCAAAAACTAAATTTGTATGAAAAATAATGAGTCCTAAATCTCTTTGTGTTAAGTTATGTAGTTACGTTTCAGCGTATTGAAGTGTTGCCATCCTAAAACTTTTAGTTTCTCCATAAAACAGCTAGCGTAATAGGTTTTTAAAATCACAAGTTAAACGTTAGCTACAGTGGGTTAGATAAAGCGAACCATCAGCTCTTAGATAAGGAACTGTTTACAATGCTATGTCAACGGCCTGTTGGCAGGAAAATCCTTGAATGCAGTTCGTAACCTTCACGTTATAGACCACGTACGCTATTGTATTTGAATGATAATATACCTAATTATAAGATGAATCTGTTCTAAAATTTTAACATGCGAATAATTGGATTAAATAATTAAATACCTAGATTTAACGTCTTCAATAGTTAAGGGATAGGTTAGAAGATAATAAGTTTTTATAGGAAAAGATTTAGCTAACAGTTTATTAACTTATAAGTCTCACTAACTTTAAGCTAAACGGCGGTTGCCTTACAGTACAACTTAAAGGAATGTCTTAATAAGAGAATTGTAGTTAAAGCCTCGAAAACAGCAATTAGCATGTGAAAGCCTCGTGTCGACGTTTTTTATTTATGTAAACGATTTAATATTTGTCTTGAAATTTTGCGGTATTGAAGAGGTAATCGCCAAAACAGTCAAACTTAGTCAAGATGACTTAATAGTAGTGTAAGAAAGTCGAAATCTAAATTTGTATGAAAATGACAGTTCGTGTCGACAAATTTTCATACACTCTTCAGGGGGCAAGTCCAGTAAGCCCCCTGATGCCTGTTCTGAGGCTAACAAATCGTACTATAATAATGGTATCGAAAAATTGTATGACCGCTAATCGTTGTGTCGCTCTCGAATGTTGGAGATGGAATGTTGAATAAACAAATCAAATTCTATAAAAAAATATGTTTTCCATGTTAGCCTTTTTATCTTTTTATCCCACCTTATATCTACTAAATTACTTATTTGACGCACCAAAAGTCGGAATCAATACACAAGGGTCCAAAGAATAAATAATTAAAGTGTTTCTTTGTTAATTATTCTGAGCAAATTGTGGTAAACAAAATTAAGCGTTCGTGTTATAAATTCTGATAAGCCAGTTCGCAGCACCAGACTTTATTATCTCACGAAATAATCCACGGGTCAATGGGCGAGAAATTTGGTTTTTGCAATATACAACGATTTTAATTACCCCACAACACCCCTCATTTCATTGCGGTACCTCTTTAAACTTTGACCTTACAAACCTCCTACCTGTATAATGATTTGCAATATTTCTTTTTATAATTTATACAATACCTCCGACTGTGACCACCGAACTTTAGAAAAAGGGCGAATTCATTGTTAATTAAAATGGTAACATGCAAAAACTTTTTGTTCCATTTACAAAGTTTTTTTTCGCCTATAGAGCTACGGACCACAGAATACATCTAACTAAAGACACGAGTTATGTTATCCAGTCTATCTAGACCTAGTCGTGGCTAACAGATGATTAATTCAAATGAGTTAAAGTAAAGAATGACTCTTAACAATTGAATCTTAGCGATTGAAAACGTTGGACTGTGGCGGAGATTCCAGTCCTTAATTGCCACGCCCTTAATGTGAGAAGTAAATTTAGAATATTGCTTTTTTATTAACGTTTATAAGTGTGTATGAGAAAAAATTACTTATATAACTTTTGATTGAATTGTCTATGAAATAAGTCCAATAACGCCTGGTGCATGCACGAGGCAGACATATGACACGTTATCTGTTCTTCTAATTAAATACATTAAAATAGGAAATATTTTCTGTGGTTAGAATTTTCCCGCGAAATTATTTTTTGTCACTTTTGGAATGCACAAGTCACCTCGGCACCTGTGTTGAGCGTCTCCGGCGACCCCCGCTAACCTGTTAATGCAATATTTAATCACTACCGTTAAGATGTAACTCTTGTAAAATTAATAATCGAAATTTAATTTAAAAGAAGAAAATAGAAAGAGTTCACCTGAATTATGATTCGCATGAGAATTCTGATTCGCATTTTTATACTGGCAACCTATTTATAGTACCTATAGTTCCGGTCTTATAGTGTTTATAGCTACAAAAAACATTAAATTATATACAACTAGCTATGATGTATTTGTTTCTAACTTTGTTTTTAAGATACATAATATATAAACCTAAAACACACACGTAGTACGTATCATACAGCTTATAGTTTAGAACCAAGGTATTCTAAAAGCGATATTTATCATAAATCTAGAATAATGAGTGGCGGACGTTTTATTCCATTACTTCTCGTTCGTTATACGCTTTTATTTGAGAATTAATAGTCATAAGCGTACAAACAACAGGAATAAATCGATTTTAATAAACAAACTTAAGTTTAAAATTCGGAGTTACAACCGTGTTCCTTTAAGGCGAATAAACTTTATTGGGAAACTGGAATAAAGGTTTATATAAAAAATGTATACAGTGATAGGTTGCTATAACGTTTGGATTGTAACAAAAACTACGCTGAACCCCTCTCATTTGGATTTTTTACCTCTAAAAATATGTGAGGGCAGGTAGAATCTTGCAAACTTTGTTGACTTAAATTTAATTTTTTATTGTGACATACTTTTGATTTTTATGAGATTGTGGTTATTATATTAACCGTCAACCGAAAGAGTTGCTGGAATATAGTTTACTATTGTTCACCGGTAGAAAACCTAGCCAAAATACAAAAATCCTTTTTTCTAATAGACACATTATTACTACATTTATAAATATAAGGTTTAGATCATGAAGATTTAACAGTAGCTGTAATCATTAATGGTCATACCGAATTATATTTGCCATTGCCGAAATTAATAAGTAATATTTTATAAAATTACCCCTAGATGGCGCTTTCGACAATATTTTTTTCTCCAAAATAGCTTTCTGGCTATACCTAGCTGCTAGTTATGTATTTACATAGCAAGTACCCTAAAAGGTAAAGTTACTTTATATCTTTTTCGACAATAAACTTTTATGTCAATGTCACGGTATACGGTATGACAACTGGCAATCAAGAAATATGACTTTGACATTGAGTTTCGTCGAGTTCTGACTGCAGTTTTTAAACTTCGGAACGGAATGTTTTGCAATTATAATTATTTAAAAAAATTGATAAGACAGTTCTTTTAATACACTAAGACTAAGGCCTTAAACAAGTCAAGAACAAGTTTCTATCTGCATTTATAAGTGATTACGTGTGCTCTTAAAAATGGAATACTCAAACAAGGTTAAAATATTAAAATTATTATCGCTTTAATATAAACATTATAAATTTAAAAAAATATTAAGTACTTTTCTATCACAGGACTTCCCGGTACTAAAAAATACGAGACTGTTGGATGCTGCGTATGGAAAAGAGGTAGACAAAGTGCCGGTATGGGTAATGCGCCAGGCTGGTCGATATTTACCCGAATTTCAAGCAGTACGAGCAAAACACGATTTTTTTACTGTTTGCCGTACTCCAGAATTGGCCTGTGAAGTAACCTTGCAGCCACTGCGGCGATATGATCATTTAGATGCATCAATAATATTTAGTGACATACTAGTTATCCCCCAGGCTTTAGGAATGACTGTTGAAATGCATCCTGGTCAGGTACCTCATTTATTGCATAATCATTTTTAATTTATGCACAGTCATGTCACATAATATATTCAACTTAAAATTGTAGGGACCTGTTTTTCCAAGTCCACTTGCTAGCCCATCTGAAATTGATGAGCTTCAGGAAGATGGTGCGGTGTCTCGGCTGGCTTATGTGGGAAAGGCAATTACTTTAACTAGACACAAAATTGATGGAAAGGTTCCTTTAATTGGCTTTACTGGTGCTCCTGTAAGTTTCTTTAATTTATTGTTCACAATATTAATTATGTTATAATTACATCTGTTAAAATACTTTGTTTTAGTGAATTAATTATTCTAACCTTGTTGGTGCAGGATATACCAAATTTAATTCTAATTAAGATAACTTGAAATTGTGAATTATTAAGTTTATATACATTGATGCATTAGGTTACCCATGATCATTTTAAACAATATTATTTCATTGTTACTGTAAATTCTCAGCATCTATTGCTTTGTGTTACGGTTTATCTTCACCATGTAAAAAAGTTTATAGTATTCTATATCTCAGTAAGATGTAAATAGCAACAGGACTCAATTCTGCGTACATATTACAACTAATTGTAACTAACGTGAGAATTATCTTTGTTTTGTTTCTACAAATCGTCATAGTTGTAGAATAGTGACGGATCTGACAAATAGTAAACTTTACAGGGCAGCCATTTCAAGATAATTTAACCATTTTAGTTTTTGTCATAACTATTTTAATTCATATTCTATTATTATGAAAATTGGCATACAAGCAAACAAAAGGGTTTTTTTCTTAAACAAAATAAAAATAATAACATTAAATTACATAGTTTTCTAGAAAAATCACATGTTTCTATCAAAGCCGTTACTTTACCGACTGATTAATTTGAAATTAAAAACACATAGAATTTTTATTTTAATGTAGACGGAATATTTAGGCAATGTAGTATCTAAATATGATTAAAAGTGGATTTTGGATTTTTTTCAAATCCGACATTGTTCTATGATCATGACGAAATGTCATTACAAGCTTGTTAAACTTATAACAACAATTATATAGCAGAACACTTATAAATAATTTATAATTACAGTTCACACTTATGGGATATATGATTGAAGGCGGTGGAAGCAAAACAATGTCGAAAACAAAAGAATGGTTGGAGAAATATCCTAAAGATGTTCACAGGCTCCTTGCTCTTCTGACAAGGGTTATTATAGACTATCTTGTCATGCAGGTAAAATATGTTGTTGCAATACTGAATATAAAAACAATTGAAATACTTCTATTAAATAAAAACAAATTATTTGTTTATTTATTACAATAATACATACATACATACATTATCCTTACAGACTATTCCGATACAATAATGTCGAGAAAAAATTAATAAAATTTAATTAAACCTACTTTTGAAATAACATTAACAATTGACGTCTTCATTGGTAATATGATTGTTAGATAACATTACTTATTTTAATCAGTTTTTGTGTATATCCCTTTCTTTTGGATAAAAACTAATTTTAGAGAGAGAGTGAGAGCGGCGAATTACCTTATATAAATTATAATTTCGTAAAGAGAATGGGTTATGTATTAATTTTCGAGTCTTAATATTTTAATGACAATTAAATTGATTAAAATTTCTAACATAAATTCCGTTTTCCCTCACTTTAAGTCTCGGAAATCTAAAGTTTTAGATTTGTACAAATATGACTTTGTATGCATACACTTTTTTTAAAAATTATTACTATTGTAATAGGACCCTTATAACTTGTATATAAATAAACTAATTAACATAATTAATTCTCTAAATAAGAATCTTTATAAATTAATGTCTAGGTCGTATTTTTAATTAGAAAACTGACAGTATAATGTCACTTTGTAAAATAATGTTGATATTTAAAGTAATAGTGATGTTAGTTTTGTTAATCAATAATAAATTATGTGAATAGTCAATCATTTAAACAATAAAAAATATTATTTTATTTAAAATTTATAAAATTATATAAGTTAGGTACTAGTATATGTAATACAATATTTTTGAGTTATAAAAGGGATAGTGCATACCGATATAAAGGTTATATTACAAAAATTTTTATTATTAAAAACTATAAATTAATGTCTAGGTTGAGAGTGGAGCCCAACTTTTACAAGTATTTGAATCGAGTGCTGATCACCTGACAAGGGAACAATTCGCTGATGTGTCCGCGCCTTATTTGAAGGATATTAGGGAAGGTGTACAGAAAAAATTACAAGATAAAAACTTGGATCAAGTTCCTATGGTATTTATAAGCTTTTTTAGATATAGCAGTTTGTTGTGCACCAATGACCTTTCTATGTGCCCATTTACCACTCACTCATACGGTGAAGGAAAACATCGTAAGGAAACCCGCCTTAGACCCAAAAAGGCCTAGGCTGTCTTAGGCCCTAAGGCCCCGTATTAAGTATTGATATAATAGGAGTGTAGTAGTGTATTGTCTTATCTTCCATGTATTAGAAATTATACTTTTATCTTTTCTCTATTAGAACCGGAAGTTGCACTTGGAATAGATATTACAAATTATTAGAATAACTCGAGGTATTTCCGAACCCCTACGACTTAGGGTCCTACAAGAAAAGAGCATACAATTCTTAAAAGAGCGGCAACGCACTCGCGACTCTCGCAATGTGAGTGTGTCCACAGCAGTATCACTTAACATCGTCTGTTGTATAAAAAAAGTAGCTTGCAACATTGCAGATTTTTTAGTGGTCATTTTAAATAGTAGTAAAAAAAGGAGAAAAGATCTCTGTTTGTAACGAATATTCTAGAATAGTAAAACTTAAAGAGACGACAATTTTAAAATATTTTTTTTTCACAGACGGTTTTCGCTAAAGGCGGAGGTCACTCCTTGGACGTTCAAGCAAAGATGGGATACGAAACAATTGGTTTGGATTGGACGGTGGATCCAATTGAAGCGAGGAAAATAGTTGGTGAAGATATCACATTGCAAGGGAATCTCGACCCACAAGATCTTTATAAAACTCCAGTGAGTATTTATTTGTTAAATCAAGTAACATAAGTTATTAGGGATGCAACGGGAAGCTTTAACTTTAAGTAAGGAAAATAAACACTAAGGCAACGTTCACACGGCGACCATTCGATTCGATTTTTTCACGTATACGGTTTTACCGTATACGATGCAATCGTTCACACGGCAACCATTCGATTCGATTTTTTTTTTTCGATCAAGGAAATAAAATCCTAACCTAACGTGGCCTTCGGCAACGTTCACACGGCGATTATTTTCCCGTATACCGTATACGAGATTTTATCGAATAGAGTAGTGACAACAGAATATATATGAAAACTTAAATTGTTTACACGGCGTTCATACGGGAAAATCCCGTGTTCGAGAAATATATTTTACCGTATACCGTGCGAAGTTGTCATCGAAAACGCCGCGTCTCGAAATGATTTTATCGAATACGACACGCAGTGGCGCTTATGTTCATGTTGTCTCGTTCACACGACTCGCCCATTCGAGAATCGTACGCACTCGCACGCGTGGCCCGCAGTTGCCCTTGTGCGTTGCATCAGTCGGTTGTCAATATGGAGGACAGAATTCCAATATTGATCGAGGACTTTATTTCCTTAATCGAAAAAAAAATCGAATCGAATGGTCGCCGTGTGAACGTGGCCTAAGGCTAAAGTGCAAGAAGTGCATAACCAAGTCAACAAAAATTTAATTTCAATTAACACTGAAATTGTACAATTACCAAACGTAATGTAAAATGCAATTAAAAATAAATTTAAAGCTTATCCAACGGATCATGAATAACATCTGCATACAATATTTATCGGAAACGTGAAATTATTTAATTGTGTTCCGACTTTAGCACAGTTAACCTTCAATATCGGTTAAGTAAGATTGTGTATAGTCAAACCTGGATATGTGAGAGCTCAAGGGTCCGCGATCTCGTTTTCTCTTATTGAGGTTTCTCACCAACCTGAGTTTCTAGCTTACCGACTTGCAGAAATTTTTGAATTAGAATTTTTGGAGGGCAAAATGACAGGACCCGGTAAATACATTTCTCGCTTACCCAGTTGTCACTTGTTTACGTCAATTTACTTTAAAGGAATTGGAAAAAAATGCGTTGCTGAAAAACAGATTTAAATTAGCTTAGGTTTACAAAAGGTCATCAATTTCTTAAATCTTTTATATAATAATAAACATTTTTGCCTGAAAAAACAGAAACGACAAAGTCTAATAAAGTCTGACTAATGAAAGTTCAGCATGGCAGCCCTAAAGTAAAAAAGAAAGTTGGAACAACTCACTTTGATACTTTGACATTCATTTTTATTTTACTAGTGGATGCTTGCAATTTTTAGGCTTATAGCTTTTGTGGACATAAGTTTCATCTAAGTAGATTATTGGCTTGCCTTCTGCAGGTTTCGATGCAATGGTACGCAAAAAGCGATGTCTCCATGCAGTTATATCATATCGTTCAATTAATAATGAACGTTCATTTTTGTTTTTCTTAAATTCATAACCGTTGGCTAATAATCTTAAGACTATCTGTAAAAGAACAATAACATTATCTAAAGTAACTAAAACTAATATGTACTTATTTAAAATAAAAAAATATCAAGACATTTTGACCGTACTAACTTTAGTGTTATCATATAAAAAGTTTGCAAAAAAATCCAGTATCTACTTTCGTTAGCCTGACTCTAACATTCCATTCCCCAACACAATAATAATTTGACAATTCTTTTTCACTCAATTTGACAATTAATGAAATGCCATTCCCCATTGACGTTTTGCGTCATGTGTCAACCTTAACTTCCACAGCTGCCACATACAAACTATAAGTAAATAAATAAGTTCAATTTCTTTACACATATTTCAGGAGGAAATCAAGAGTTTGACGAGAGATATGGTTCAAAAGTTTGGTAAAAGGCGGTACATTGCCAATTTGGGTCACGGGATCACTCCTCAAACGCCGTTGGAGAGCATGACAGCGTTCACCGAAGGGGTCCATGAAGCAATATAGTCTATATATGTTATCACATTTATATGGGTGAAGAAAAATTTTGTATACATTTTTTTTAAATAAAATAGATTTGTTATACCTATATTTTTTGACAAAACTACATCAAAGCAGTGTTGGCGCTGCAAGCAGCAGTTTCAGCGTGCGACTCCCATCCCTGAGGTCGTAGGTTCGATCCGCATTTAACATTCGCCCGAATGGCGAAGGAAAACAAAGAGAGGAAACCAGCTTGCGTTAGACCCAAAAAGTCGACGGCGTGTGTCAGGCACAGGCGACTGAACAATTTGCTATTGATTGACATTGACACATGCCTATTAGATTGACAAATTATAATGAAACAGATACAGGAATCTGTCAGATGACAGATTTCTGTATGAAGTCAGTTTGATATTGATTTCGTTGGAATTGAATCACGAGATTGTTTTTCAAAGCTGTCATATCGAGTTCAACTTGATCCCTTAGGCGTTGCGTAGAGATGTGGGGTATCTCTGCAGCTCGGCAACGCACTTGCGAGCCCTCTGGCAATGTGAGTGTCCTATGGGCGACTGTACCACTTAACATCAGGCGAGCCTCCTGCCCGTTTGCCCACTGTTATACAACCTATAGCGTAGGTATAGATTGTATACGTATAACCCTTTGACAACACAAGATTTGCTCAAAAGGTCAACGATTTTCAAAATTTGAATTAAATCTGTTACAACTGTTTGGTCGTTTTTACAATAAACAACATAATATTGTACTGTTACGAAAATATGCATTTTATATTTATTGAATGTATATTTTATTAATTTAAAGGTCATATGGGGTAAAGGAAATACAGATTTTGTTTTAGAATTTATTAATAAATTTCTTTACATTGTATATGTTGTTTTTGAGTTTTGACTTGTCGCTGGCATATCTTCATCGTGGCATCCCACTGATTTCTTAATATACTGGAAAAGAAAATATAAAAATAGATATTGTATAATATGAAAATATATGAAGAAGACATATCTTCCGCCATCATTAATCTTAAAAATGTCAGGAAAATCCGTCTTCTAGGAAATTTATCGCTGGTTCAAACCCATCATTTTTAACAACGACGATTGAAACATATTTTTCAATAAAAGCAATCCTTGCTGTTAATAACCCAAGAAATTTATTGAAGTTATACTTCTTTAGGCGCGTTATGAAAAATCGATGAGAGTGAAATTTTACGATGCGCGCGCACCGTGACACGAAATTAACAGAATGAAGTTGCCCACGGAAGATGCTACGGCATTGGACATAATTTAAAAGCAACATTCGAATAATAATAGAATTTATGTTACACTTAATGTAAAAGAATAATAATAAATATTTATTTATTTAATTTTTCAAATGTAAACTGAACTTTTTTGACTATAATGACTCCTTTTCCAGTCTTTGATTATTTAATTGTAATCAATTAATTGCATTCAATCAAAAACTATTTTTAATAATGCCAAAGAAGTATAACTTCTTACGCGCGTACGTAAGTACACGCAACCTTTTTTTAATCTATTGTTTAAACAAACAAAAGTTCCTTTACTCAAAATCTCACAAACCAATAGTTTAGCAGTTAGTCAAATTTATACAAGTGTCTTGAAGGTTCACAAAAAATCAAATTAATTTGCTAAAAGCGCCATCTATGTATCCGCCTACGAACTTTTTAACCCACCTAATAGCATTGGCTAACTTAGTACAGCGCCATCTGTTTTAAATTTTAAAAAAGTTCATATTCTTACTTCATTATTTAACAGATACAGAGTTCATGGAACATTACCTGAGGATTAACTTGTATTTGCTCATCCATTTCTTGAATGTACTGATGAAGTTTGGTGCAAGCCGCCATTTGCTGTTCCAAAACACACAACGTCTCAGGCGAAGCATATTTCTCGGGACTATCCAGGAACACGACCATTCCATCTTTCTGATTGATCATAGCGTATATTTCTCCTTCTTCAATCTAAAATAAAAAAACGGTACTTCAAACTCTACAAATACAGTATAATGCGGTAGACCCGGACCGCGTTATAGGAAATCGCGTTGTAGGAGTAATTTCGTAAAATAGTTTTTTTTGAACAATTCAAAAACTAGGAACACAGGAATATTTATTGCCATAATATTAAAAATAAAATAATAAAAAAACAGGAATAAACTTATTAAATTTTATAACACAATTGCAACACGTGCAAAGGTACCCAATAATTATGGACTAGACAAATCATTATACATTTCACACTACAGTAACGTAACTTGAGAAATCTCCGCGTTATATGGGGAACGGAAATCGCGTTACAAGAAAACGCGCTATAGGAGGTTAACTGTCCTCCTAAATATTAAAAATTTCTTAACATGTCTATAGAGATGCCTTTGTCTAAGCAATCATCTAACAGATGGCGCTTTACATAATAGTAGGGAATCATCACTTAACGAATATTGTTACGACCAGCACACGCCTCAGCACGAGCACAGCAAATGCCTCTAGTGGGGTCGAGGGGCCATCTTGACTTGAACAGTGCGTTCAAGGAACGCAGGGTAGTTATGATTGAGCAGTAGAGCATTCTGGTGTTGAGAGGTTGGAACGAGTTGGGTCTCGTTATTATTTGCAGTGTTAAAAGGAATCTAAATGAAATACTGTACAATTCGTGTGATGACGCCCATTTAACCCTCTAATGACGATGTCATTATCAATGTAGTGATTAAGATATTTCTCCGACATAATATAACACCCTTATTCAGACTAGATCAGTGCTAATTAATTTTTTGTAAGGGATTTAGAAAACACAGTCGACACTCGATAATTATTTTTTTTCCGGACCCTTGAAAAATACTCGATAAATTTAATAAAATCAATCATAATTGATCCACGCGCTAATTTTATTTTGAAATAATAGTAGTCTTGCTCGCCAACATGCGATAATTTAAATTCATGGCTTCCCTACTTTATATAATTATATGCTGTGTTTTATGCACAGACCTGTAACTGTTTTATTTGAATTCTTTGAAAAATATTGAAGTCACTCATGCAATAAAAATATTATTTTTTTAAATTGTTAATACATAATATTAAAAAATAAAAAAATGTGTGCGTGTACTAGGTGTACACACGTAAGAAGTGAAACTTCTTTATGATCTTATTTTTCGAAAAATGATCTACTATATGCAACTTTACAGAAATTCGTTAAATTAGATAAAGTTTAACAAAAGGCTTTTATTATCATAGACATGAATACAAATATTTCATTTTACCTTATTACTTTCGTAGTAGTAGATTATTATAGAATTTCATTAATTGTAATAGAATTATTACTATCATTGAAAAACGTGACGATTTGCTACAAAATTTCTCCCATACGTCGATAAAGAAGTTTCATTCTTTGACTTCAAAAAGCAACATGGCGCGTAACCGAAAAATGTGACGCGTAACGAAAAAATGTTACACTAAATTTTTTTCCAACCTCGATAAAGAAGTTTCACTTCAATAATATAGAAATGGCAAATCACGAATTTGGTCAAACTCTTATTTACTTGAATCAAACACCCTTGTGACTATTTAAACGCTTGCTATTTTGAACCCTTGGTAATTTATTTCTGGTCCCTTGAGTTTAGGAATAGTCACCTATACTGACCAATAGATGGCGCTTTACGCAATAATTAACTAAATTAAAAAAAAACAGTTTTATATGTAATACTTGAGTATGGTGGATTTTAGTATGCGAGCTAAATTTTGTATGTTTGTCCACAAATTTCTCAGTACTACCTGATTTAAATTAAAGGATCATCCCTTCACAACATAGAAGTTTAAGTCTCATAAAAATTGATTCAGTAATTTCAGAGATGTCTCGAATATACCTAAGTAACGATGTTTTTAATTACATTTACAACATACCATATTCAAAATATAAGTTTCGGCCTGAGCTGGTCCAGACAACTGAACCCGAGAAGCGACATCACTCAGTGACAGAGTTAAAAATGTCTTCGTGAGTCTTTGTATATTCTTTTTGTACATTGAATTTATGACCTGGAAAAAAAATATAGCATTTAAATTGTACTATGTCCTAAATATTTTTTAATATTTTTATTTTTAAGCAGTTTTTGACTATCCATTACAAACAGAAATATTTAAAATACCCATTAACCATTTATACAACGGGTCAAACTGTCATCTGATGTTAATTGATGTGTTTAAATACATATTATATATATAAATATATATTTGAATGCTTTGCCGGCCTTTTAAGAATCTTCCAGGAGTTGCACATTGGCAAGTATATTGGTATTCCAGAAATTTTAATAGCATTGTAGATTTAAAAAATATAGCGACTTTGCCAATAGTATTTTTAAAGAGATTTTCAATAAAATTTTCACCAATAACCAACCAAAACGACAGCTTATGTATTAAGTCATTGCCTTGATACACAGAATATGTGTTTTATAAATTGTCTCTAAACTGACATAATCAAACAATACAATCTAGCCTAACTTAAGACTAATAAGTAATTTAAGTCTAACCTAATTTCCTAATAAGGATTTTTAACATAAGAAACTGTCCAATAATACTACTTACTGTCTCTTAAGGGGAGTTCTTGTGTACTATTTCACTTACACAAGCATTTAGCATTGAAGCCTAACATGCAGATTTTGTCCTTTTCCTTTTAAAATATAAAGTAGTGTTTCTTGATAAGCAACTTTTCTAAGATTTTTAATACAATTTTACTATTTTTATATCAAAAAATCATGGTCTTTACTCTGCCATTTTTATAAAACCAGGAGATCATGAATTCGATTCTCAACGAAAAATAACTAGTATGTGTGTACATGACTTGACTATTAAAATTAATATTGAAATCAAAATGTCTGCCCCCTTATAACAAACAACTAAATAAAACCGATTTTTATTTTAACTACCATATTAACAAAACTCACTTGATTAACAAGTCCCATATTCTTATCTCTTACAAAGGTCTCTCTATGTTTCACTGCTGCATGTTGTGATGTAGCCAAGTCATGATAGGCAACAGATAAAGGTTTTAAGAAACGACACGCCACAGGCGAAGTGTATTTTGGCATTAGTAATATCTGAAATAATAATATTTGCTTTCAATAATGGTAATATGTCATGTTGGGCCCATTTATGGCAATACATTATAAGCAACATTTTATAATAAATTATCAAAGTCAAATCAATTTTTTTCAAAAACACCAGAAATATAAAAGTGGAAATATTAGCATTACCACTTTTACAGAATAGAATGAGTATTTGCATAAACCATAGACAATACATACCTTTCCATGCAAAATAAGTGAAATTAAAATGTACTTCTTGTAGGCTTCAAGCATTATGTGCGAGACCACTGTGGCTGGAACAGTCACAACTACCTCAAAGAAGTATAATGCTCTTTCAAAATTCTTTAAAGCCGAATATATCATTCCTCCATAATAATAATATAGCAGAAAGTGTTTTGAGTCATTATTTCCACCAAGCTGTAATAAAAATAAAAATTAATTTTTCTATCATCATATTGATTTGATGATTGACATTTTGTAAGACACTGAAAGCCAATCATCTTGTTGCCTGTTAGAAAAAAAACAATCACAACACAGATACAAAATCTCAGGCCAAGGTTGTAGCAACACAGGTTTTTTTAATGTGGCAATTTGAAACACACTTATCCTAAATAGTCCTCAGTCAGGCACATTATTGCAATTACTAGGTAACATATATAAAATTCCATCTTAGCCGAGGATTATATCTATATCAAAGTTAATAAACATATACATGTTATAGAAATACCTCTGATCCGATTCCTGTAACATCTGTTTCTAAAAACTCAAGAGCTGGTTTCATACACTTTGACAGCAGACATAGTTGGCATAAATCTGCATGTATGGATGTTAGTTGTGAATCAAATAATTGTATTTTTCTGATTGCTTTCTTCAATATCTCTATTCCTCGTATGGGTTGCTTCAATTCCACTAAATGATCAGTCAGCAAATGACATAACTCTGCAACTAAAAATTTTTAATAAATACTTTAATCAACACTCTAAATAACAGTAACTAACTTTAAATTTAATAACACACCATATAAGAGTAAAATTACTTGACTTTGATTAGTTTTCATTATTGTCCATGCAATTTAATATATCTTTCCATATAAATACTACATTATATTAAATATAAAAAGTTAAGGCCCTTGAGGCATTGTTATATAGTTTACATTCTACACAAGCTATATTCAAAAATTGTGTCATGACTTACTAGTCAAAACATACATTAAATAATTTTGCCTAAGTTTATGAATAAGACTAAAATATGACATTGTAAAATATAACTTTTTAAGTTTGTTGAGGATTAATTAGTAATCGAACAATATTACACTAAAATTATTTCTTTACATTACATTGTTGAGTTCATTCTAGACGGAAAAAGATTACTGGCACACTTAATAAGCAACTTTATTCCAGTCCAATTGGAAACTAAAACTTCTTACTACAAAAATACTTCAATCTTCAATACCTTAAGTAAACAACATTAAGATGATCTTAAGAAAAGGCACTAGTAAACTGTAAGGTTACCTTAAAATAATATTGTCTTTGATTAACATAACTTTTATTCATTTAATAAAACACTATTTGTGGTCACGGTGACCACGCACGCTGTAAAGCACGCGAAACGTCGGATAAATTTAAAATTATGTTAAATAGTTGTAAATTTATAATAATACATAACTTCAATCCGGTCAAAATAGTGTTTTATTATACCTTAAAATAACTTTTTTTAATTTCATCTTTTAATTCATATTGCCCTTACCAATAAGTAATACATATCTGCTCTAGCAGATCTATATGAAATATTTAAAGTTAAGATTGAAATAATAATGTACTCTGCCATACATACTTACATAATTCTGGGCAGAACCTAACTTGTTCTCCATTACAGTTATTTATGAAATCACAGATCTGTTGATACATTGTTGATCTATCCACATCATTTGAACCCTGAAATATAGGAGACAATTCGATTAGTGTAAAACATCTTTAAAAGTAATATTGTTTAAACTTTAAATGAACTGTCTTATACAAATTACGAGCATTAAAAGAAGAAAGAAAAACTTAAATGCAATTGTTCTTACAGCAAATATAGCATAGCAGTAAAAAGTTTACCTGATGTATTGAAAACTTTGCTACTAAAACAGCGAGGACTCCTAAAGAATGTTGTTGAATGTCAAGGGTTTCAAGAACTATGTTTAGATGAGCACCATTCCTTTGAAGCACTTCATCTGATTTTGATATTATATCACAAAGTTCACGAAAATTTCCTGATAAAATAACATTTCATTACACAAGTAGACAATTAAAAAAATAAATAATAAAATCATACAAAAATTCAAATACCTGAAGCCGAAATGGTCCGTACATTGTTCACAAATTGTTCCAACGGCGAAGCCATTCTTTTATAAGTCTAGAATTTATATAAAACGCAGTAGACTTGTAAGTGAAATATGCAATTAAATTCGTCCTATACCACAATTTAATACGCTCAATAATTCATTTTAAAACATTCACAAATCACACTCACAATTTTTACCTTTACTATATCTGTGATTTTTTCTCATTATAATTTTTGACGTGAATAATGAATTTTCACATTTCAAGCTATGACAATGTACTTCATGATCATGACAGAGGTCATAGAGTGAATATAAGGAAAATAATAAGTAAGATTCATCATTATGGCAATAGTTTTAACTTTATCCAAGTTTCAAGTAAAAGGTAGGGAAACTAAACGCGAGAAAAAAATAAACAAACACATCAAAAGGAAATAAAGGGATAAGCTAATTGAACAAAGTTATAGTTGTAACTTGTAAGTGTTGCACGTCAGATATCACTCAAGTGTCAAAGTTGATTACAATGTTTCAAAAATTGAAACTGATGTATGTAATATTATGTATGGACTAAAAAATAAAACGTTAAAGCAATGATTACTTATTAGTTAATACTTAATACACTTAACTTACCACAGACCACTACCGGTAAAATTAATATTAATACACTTGTATGTAAATGTTAACCTGGGGTGTTTAACGTATAAATTTATTTAAAAAAGGATTCATATACGACTTCTAAGAAATATTTACGTTATAAACTGCGAAAAATGTATAATTCTGGTATGAGACAAATGGAAGAGAGGCATGTTGCGAATCAAATAGATCTCATGATTTGGAGTCATCGATTGGATTTAATAGCTATAAGTAATTTGAAAGGTAAGTTAAAATTGCGTTTTCTTAAATTCAACAATAAAAACTCATATACTTAGTCTTTTATCAAGAAAATTCTGGGTTTCAAATCAATTTATAAATAAAGCAATAAAATATAAAGGGACACACATTTTCAATTATTACAGTAATGTAATGAACTTTTTATTTTTAGGTGAAGTGCAGGTACATAGATTACATTGGCAGAAAGTTTGGAGTTTACCACCACCCAAAGAAAACACAAAAGTTGATTCTATGGCATGGAGACCCGATGGGAAAGTAAATATTGATGTGTTCTTAAAAAAATATAATATGACACCTGCAATATTTGTGAATTCATAAATAATTTTCTTTTTCAGGCATTAGCTATTGGTTATAATAATGGAAGTGTTTATGTTATTGATATTGAAGATAAATCAGTTATTGATAAATATGACTTTGTTCAGGAATTTAAGGATGAGACAGAATTTAAGAAATATGGTATTTCATGCATATGCTGGGCTCTTAAATCTGGTACTTTGGAAAGCACTACAGAATATAATATTTATGTATGTTGAATATTTATAACTGAAGGCCTATTACTTCCTACAGGACACACCCTGTTTCTTGTTTGTTTCACAAATTTTTAATAAGGTTTAATACCTTTTTTAAGTCACTTAGTTTCTTTACTATTTAAAATGGTAATGTAACTTTATGTTGTCTATTATAAGTATATTACAAGTTTATGTTTTCAGGATGATTCCAGTTTGTTTTTACAAAATCCACCTATGCCAAATACTTCTTACAAAACTCAAAATACCAATGAAAATGATACAGAGTTCAAAGATAGTTCAGAACAATTTAACCAATTAAATTTGTTAATAGTTGCATATGGTACAGGCACAATATTTATAAGTGTATTTGGTAGACATCCTTATAGAAGTGTTCACTTATCGCAATTTACAAATGATCCCCAAGGCAACTACAAAATTCTTGACATCCAACTCTCTGATGACTTCAGTATAATGCAGGTTTTATATCTAGAGAGATGCACTAATAGGATTATGGTGTCAATTATCAACACAAGTGTTCTATCAGCATATTCAGAAGAGCTGTCAATAGTAGCAAATTCACAGATACAAATATATCAATTATTGTCACGCCTGACTCGAACTATGAAAGCTGTAACAGAAGCTTGGGAACATATTCTTCTAGAAATGGATACTAAAATGGCTTTATATGCATCTACAGTTCCAGAAGGAGGTGTTTCGGCCGATTTATTAGAATTATTAATGCTAGGTACATACATTTTTTTGCTTGAATTGCATATGAAATGTGGGAGCAAATAAGTTGGCCAGTGTTATTAAATACGAAAAATAGATTTCAGTTTTTTTACTAAGCATACTTAAAATTTTAAAGCCCTATTTTATTTCCAGGTGTACCTTCTGATGATTTAGAAGGGTTTCTTTTAAGAGATTTAACAGCAAAAGGTCTTAAGAAGTTTGGTACCTCGGTTGAATTAAGTTATTCAACTATTCAAAAACTAGTATTGAAGAAACTAAATATTATTGGCCAAAATCTTGTATACCATTTGTCTGAGTTACGAGGTCATGCAAAAATTCCTGATAGATATAAGGTTAGTATTATGCATTTAATCAATAGTACATTTTTAAAATTTATATAAAATGTATTAATTTATAATTTTAGATATTGGGTTTAGATGAGCAAAAGGTGACTGCTGCAGTAAGAGCCTGCTTTGCTTTTTTGAACAAATGCCTTGAACTGCAGCAAGTAATCGATGTATCAATGAGAAACTACAAAGCATTTTTCCGTTGGCTGTTTGTTGTCATTGTTCGTCTGTTAGATGAACAAACTCCCAGTGAAATTGTTAAGATAACACAGCAGGAACTTACGCATATAGCAGACTTTTTATACAACTTTGATAATGTTCAAGTGGACACATCGGAGTCAATAGATAAACCCGTTAAGTTTAATTTAGAAAGACTAGGCCAATATCTACAGGATCAGGAATTGACAATTCTTCCAGACAATGATGACAATCCGTGGCATAAAATCTTAAAAGAGAATTTGTGTTTGTCCAAAGATAATGATACAATATTTTGCATAGATGAATTTAAAAAGTATTCTCTTATCCAACAACAAAACCATATGACAAAACACATTGAAGAAGTATTTGATATACACCATAAAGATATTGCCCAAAATTTCTCTGCCCTTTTTAACATTAAATGTTATGACGCAGATGCCCCTTTAGAAGTAGAAGATAGTTTTAAGACTTCACAAATATTTGATGTAGACCAACAAAGATTTATGATGGCTTTAGTAAATACAAAGGGTAATTCTCAAATTCTATATTTCATGTCTGTGAGTGTAAAAGAGAGATACTCTGCATCAACATGTCAATATGTTTTTTCAACTAGTCTGCTTAAAGACAGTAGTGATCAAGGTGAAAATTTAGAAATATTAGACATACAATTTTATTCATCTGAAAATTTATCTCTACTTTTGAAACATCCATCTTCTGAGGATAGTACAGTATTTGTTCAATTACCTTTAATAGTAGCCATCGAAAGTGCTTCGGAATTCAATATGAAATGTAAAAATTTAATTTTCAACCAATATTTACCACATACTGATCTTGCCCCACTTCTTGATCCTAGTGTTTATAAAGTTATGGAAAAAATTTATGGACAAAAAATAGCTGTTTCGGGAGCAAGAAAAGTTGCTGTAGTGTTATCAAATATTCAAAGAAAAGTGAAAATATTTGAAATGGAAATTAATAGTGAAGAAGAAGATGATGATATCTTTGATTCTACATCACAATCAAATATTACACAAGGTGAAACTAGTCAGACCAGTGATAAGAACTCTACAAGGGAAAATATTTCATTTTAAATAAATTCATGGAGGTAAACTTAAATGTTTTTATTTATAATTTCAATTATGATAATACAAAATTATATCACATCTATTCCTTACTCCTAATAAAATTAATTAGTTACTAATTATTAATTACAATTTTAAAACAGTTAAAAAACCTTTGCCTAAAGTTGTACGAAATCTATACTTCTGACAGGACAATATTATGCTAATATATGTGATATCTCATGATCAGTAAAACAGTTGCAATATTTAGACTATCTGAGTCTTAGGCCTAAAGAGAAACAATGCATAAAACTATATTAGGCTGGCTTGTGGTGATTTTATCTGGATATTTTCAAACACTGAATTAAAATCAGTATCTAAACCTTGATTATCAATGCCATACAAAAGTTGTTCTGATGATGGATTACTACTGGGACCAGCAACGGGTTCAGGCATTGTTGTGGTTGTACGATTGTAAATCTCATCGCCGTCTTCATCTTCATCATCATCCACTAAAAATAACAAAAAAATATGAAGAGTATTCAACACATTACAAATTTAAATGTGTCATAAATAAAAAAATAATGTGAGCCGTCACGGGACGCCTGGCAGATGTTTTCACATCTGCCAGGCGTCCCGTCGACATAATTTTGTAAAAGTAATATGCAGAAAAGAACAGATTGTGATAGGAACTAAATATTATAAGTAGAGTGCCCGGAGAATTCAAAACCGTAAAACCTCGGATTAGAGTTACAGTGAATGAATTAATATAATTGATGTGGGATATTGTGTTTTAAACTATAAATTATTGCAATGTTTACCCAAAAAAATTTCTTGTGCACTCCATTATTATAATTTAAAAAAAAAATATTATGAAAAATTAATGTTTGACCATATATTTTCACTTTAAACAGTATTTTATTTTATTTATATGTTAAATTTTACCTGAGTAGACATATAGGAACATTTTTCAAAGATACATGTGTATAAAAATAGCAGTAGGGATCTCGAACAGCAGGAGAGCGGAGCGACAGCTGCTATGTACAATGGAATTACTCGGCCAGTTTAGTTGCAAGTAACACGTGTTCTGTGAATATTGTGCTTCTATAACAGTGAAAAATTTGTTTTTTTTTTGAAAAATTCAAAAGACAATGTACTCTTAGAATAAAACTACTATACTAAAAAAAATAGTATACATGTTCCTCACATATTTACAAATATTGAAACCCTAGAATATTATACATTAAAGAGTAATAAAAATAATATAAAAAAAACACAATAAAACAGTGTGTGAGATAAAACGTCCAATATAAAAACGTCGTCATCAACACACCTGCCAGTACAAAAATATACAAGAATGTTTCACAAAAAACCAAATTTTCACTGTTATAGAAGCACAATATTCACAGAACCCGTGTTACTTGCAACTAAACTGGCTGAGTAATTCCATTGTACATAGCAGCTGTCTCTCCGCTCTCCTGCTGTTAGAGATCCCTACTGCTATTTTTATACACATGTATCTTTGAAAAATGTTCCTATATGTCTACTCAGGTAAAATTTAACATATAAATAAAATAAAATACTGTTTAAAGTGAAAATATATGGTCAAACATTAATTTTTCATAATATTTTTTTTTTAAATTATAACAATGGAGTGCACAAAAATTTTTTGGGTAAACATTGCAATTTATAGTTTAAAAAACAATATCCCACATCGATCATATTAATTCATTCACTGTAACTCTAATCCGAGGTGAAAACCCCCAGGCGCTATACTATATTATGTCATAATGATAAAATAAAATATTACTATTTTTTTCCAGATAACGATGACTATTTATTGAATAAACATTTATTTTCATTAAATACAAAAATTTACGAATTTATTTCGTGACTACTTAATTCGTTTAATCAGTGACGTCGGTAAAGGTGCGTATCCATTTGAGGCAGACTCGGGGCGAGGCAGCCGCTCGATCCTAGGCCGCACAAGTGGAGACGCTGCCTCAACTTTAGGCACGCCGAGCCATGAGGCAAATTCGTTGCCGCGAGCCGAGCCTTATTTTGTCGGTTTTTTTGGCGCGCTCAAAGAAGCCTCAGTCCGAGCCGTGCACTTGGTGGAGACGGGCGTGTCGCCTTAGGTCGCAATGGACAACGAAACTGCAGTTAAATTAATAAAATTATACGAGTTCCATCGTGTTCTTTGGGATTCGTTAAATAATAACTATTACAACAAAAATGCTAAGCAAGATGCGTGGAACGATATTAGTTCAAAGTTGGGGATTCGCGTCTGGTGTCATCGCGTTCTTACTTTACACTAGTTTCGGATCTAGGCGAGGCGACATGCCTCACCTTGATCCGCAACGTGCCTCGAGCCTATGCCTCGGAGTGAGCAGCCTCGGTTTGCTTCAAGTCGAGGCTGCTCGGCCTGAGGCTGCTCTAATGGATACGCACCTTTATAGTTATATTCGATGTTGCCTCTATTACCAATTACCATCATATAGCGTGGCGACGCGTTGCCACGCCAGTAATCGGTTTTGCGTGCGGCTATAGATGTTTCACATCAAAAATACACATTTAGTATGTTAAAAATGGACATTTGCTTAGAAACTCTTATAAAGTTAAAATAACATTTTATGGGAGTCTCTGAGATCATTGTTGTTAACATATGCTATAAGAAACAGTATTTTGGCATAGTGAACAACAAATGAATAGACAATGATAAGATAATAAATTATACAAACCTGGTACAACTTTTCTGCCATCATACTTTTTCCACTGTTTCTTCAACCTATAATAAATTATAGCACAGGCTATAATCACAAGGATAGATATAATAATGGCAACCAATTTCACAGCATCCATGGATGAGAATGTCGACCCTTTGACTATCATTTCAACTTCACCAACAGATATTCCAGATCCATCAAGGGTCTTGGAAACACATTTGTAATAACCGGACTCGGCTGGTGATACCTTCTGTAATTAATAATTTTTTAAATTTACTTTAATGTCATTCCAATCCACAAAAAATGAGCTTTCATAGAAAGTCACTACTCATTGCCTAGTGGCTTGAGCATATGACTCTCAGCCCTGAGGTTATAGGTTCAAATCCCGGCGGTACATCATTGGTCTACTCTCTCTGTGCCAGTTTATCACTTGATTGCACAGAGAGGAAACCAGCATGCTCAAGACTCAAAAAGTAGATCAAGCACAGAGAGCTGATAACTTACTTTGAGCTAGAAAAAAACATTACATTTCTGAATCTATAAGTGCTGCTCCACTAGACCATAGAAGACTAATTAAACCTGTGTTAGCAGAGTTTGAGCCCAACCATTTCATTTCACACATTTATAAAGTATGATTGTTTTTGTTTACAGCCTAACTTAAGGCATTCAAGTAAACAATTTGGTTTAGATAGGTTGGAAGAAACTTACATCAATGTGAAGCCGTCCTGATAAAACTTCATATTTAAACTTCTTTTCATCGTGATTATTCCCTGGACCAATTACTGTACTTTTGTCAAACAGCCAGAACATAAAATTATGTTCATAGTCATTGCTATTGCAGTTCAAAACTGCAGTACTTCCTACAGGTACTTCTGTAATCATACTTGACTTCACATCAGGGAGATTACTCATGATTGATGGCATTTAATCCAAATTAAATCACTTATTTGGTATAGTTATATCACCACAAACAACCAAAACTTGTGCAAACATCTTACTGATGTCAATGGATCTCTGCCAAGTTTAAAATTATCTCAAAGTCACATGGTCATTATTAATAATTTCATACCAGTTGTCCTCAGAAAAAGGAAGTAGATAAACTTAGTATCTACTACTTCTACTTGGATTTTTTAGTAGGTGCATGAAAACCTCCACACACAGAACGGGTAGCAGCATCCAGATAGGTGTCATTACAACATAGATTGGAAGATTTACTTTCGTATATTCTAGTTTAATACATATAATAATTTGAGCAGCCATTTTCAGTCCTATGGCAGTAATGTACCAAACATTTTTGTTTATTGTTCCACGAAATCTTTCGATGCCGTTCCTACAGTGAGATACCATGTGGAAGATAACATATATTAATAAAATGCTATCATAAACCCACATAGGAATAAATACAATGAACCAATTCCAATGTGTTCTTGATTCTAGCCGTAAACATAGCAGTATTAAAAAAACTAAGAAAATAAACCAAGTAAAAAGAGCCCGATGCAATATCGCCATAACTGGATTAGTACAATAAAACCTTGGTTTTACAAAGCGGTCTGATATTCAAATGTTTCGAGGTTATTAATTAAGTCATATCACTGAAGTCTACCCATGATTTAACGTTGATCTTTGTTTCATGATAATCTCAAAATCAATTAGAAATTACAAATTTACAAATATCAAATATGTAACAACTCGAATAGTAAATAATAAGGCCCACAGTACACAACTACACAGACCACAGTACACAGCCCACTTGGGCCTACAGTTAGTCCACAGACTCACAATACTAATCCATAAAGGTTATTTGCAAGGTGTGTAGCATAAAATAATTGTTTGCTAGTTTTAAACGGAAACGTTATTTGATACAATCACAAGATTCATTAAGAAACTTTTTTATTATAATTGCAGAGTTAAGTTTGCATATTTAATTTTCTTTTCCCAAATCTTACAACGGCACGAACAGCCATTCTGCTCAACATTTTGAAAGAAAATGACCGAGCCTTTATAGTAAGAGAAGAATAAGAATAAACAATCTTTTTAGTTTTAATTTCACTGACCATTACTATTGACAAATTTCTATGGCACGCTAGACAATCTACTTTTATTTTTTACACCTGTCAACACTGACAATGTTGTAACCTGGGGGTCTAGCCATATTGGTGTCGAAAAGTATTCTACATACACTACCGCTTTTGCGTAATTGTATTGTCGAAAACGCTTCGTTCGTAGCCAAGAGACATGTCGATACATTACCGCAAAGTCGACAGCGTAGATGCGAGCTGCTGTTCGTAGCACCTTATTCCGTCATATTGTCTCTGGATTAAATGTATTCCTAATGTCACTTTTATAAACAAATAAAAGTTAAAACTTTACAATATTATTGTAAATTTGCAATTGGAAGCTACAAAAGGGACATTAGAATGTCAGCAAGGTCGGAACAATTTTCGATTTAAGTGGAATTTAGGAAGGTGCAAAGTGAATATATGAATTTTAATTGCATGTTTAAATTAATTATGGTTTGTTTATGTTTTCTCAGAAATTTAAGGCTACAAATAAATACAATATCTTGAAATTGCATAATGCGATATATAATAATTAGTAGTACTCATACTTTGATATTTTTAGGATTTGACCTCACAACTAATCTACAAAATGAAGAAGCAACATTTTTGTTACCGCTTAGAAGAAACAATAAAAATAGTACTGTGGATTGATAAATAAAGAGTGAAAATAAGGTTGACTAGAAGTTGATAAAGTCAAGGAATTAAAAACAATAGAAAAAAAACGTAGACTAGTGTGAACACTGAAATTAGAGTTTGATTTAACTTTAATTAGTTTGGTGTTTGTGCTTGAACATTTTTAATGTCAATTTGAAAGCAGATTTATATATAAGTGTAGATTTTATTAGTGATTTGTATAGTTGGAATTATCTCTGTTTATGTCCAACAAACAATTTCAGTTTAAGTTAGAGTCATAAAAGTTGATTGTTTATAATATATTTATACTTTTAGAAAGTGAGAATTGAAAAACAGCAAGTACTCAATGAAATGAAAAGAGGGATTAATAAAAATTATAAAATAGAAACTTAGTCTGGTATGAAATTATAACCCTTAATCAACCTTTGATTCCATATTGATGCTCCAACATCTTAGATATAATAGATATAAATTTAAGTTTGATGTGATTTTAAGTTAATATTTATGTAATTAACTTTTGGTTATATCAGTGATTTGCTACTAATTAATATGTAAATGCAAAATCTGTTTAAGTAAGAAATGAATAAACATTGTATGTTATGTATTTTCAGTTTTATTTTTGGTAATTTACCTATGTCTTCTTTAGTAGGAAAAGCCATTAAAGTGGTTCACAATATTAGTTTATTTTACAAGAATATACAGATAATGCATATATGAATGACCCATACCTACTAATAGTTAGGAATATTAAACAAACAGGTAGCAAAATAAAAATGTTTCAGTTATGGTTATTTTTTATTAAAATAAGGCACCAAATATCTTCCTTAACATAATGCAGTCTACATAGAAAAATAAGCATATGTAACAACTTATTAAACAATACAGACATTACTACTGAACACACGCAGGTGCACCAAATTAAATGCATTACTACCTAATGATGTATTCATATATGTAGATTAACTAATGTAAGTGTTAATTTGCAGCAATGTCAATATTTGTTTGTGTGTGTTATATACAAAAAAATTTTCAATTCATAAGACCTAACATTAGATGTTGTGATGATTTCATAAAATTACTATGATACCTACAGTTACTATGAATACATCCTGGCGATTAAAAAAATAGTGATTGTTTCCTTAACACAACAATTGTAAATAATAATAGTTATTGTAAAGATATAATTCTTCCCAAAATCTACAAATGCAGTTTGTTTATAATAATATCTCATTAACATTCAAACTGCTGAACTTATTAAGATTAAATGTGGAAGAACATAGTTTAGATACAGTTTCCTGTTCTTGAGGTAAAGTTACTTAACCAACCATTATTTCATACTCCACTTGTCTTATTTTTTTACATTATTCATAAAATGCTTCGTTCCCCATTATCAAATTCATTTTCAGGTACATAATATAACACTTTAATTAATTAAAAGATAAGACTTTAATAAAACTTGTCCATTTGTGTTTTTTTAATACTTTTAGTTGTCTTTTTCTGAAAATAAAATATTTTAGTTAGTACTTGATCAATAGGTAACTTTAATATTAAAAGTCTTTACCTACTTAATTCTAAACTTAAAAATATACTTAATTTGTCACTTTGCTGCTTATTGTCAATTAAAGTTTTTAATAACCAAACAATTAGTAACTCCCAAAGGACTTGAATTAAAACTTCTCATTCATTAACAATATTATAATAACTTCTCTAGTATATTAACTTAGTAAATAATTAAAGAAAATATCTGCTTACCATTAAGTATTAGTATTGTCACTATATTTTATATTTCCAAATTCATGAAGTAAAAATCCACTTTATTTGATTAATTTAAATCAATATTATATCATTAGCTTCTATTATAATTACAATATAATATATTTAGAACTTCTAATAATGTTCATTAGTGACTGTTTCTCATCTGAAATATACAAATAATATGTACAACCATTTTACTTTGTGATTACATAATATAAGCAATATTAAATGGTATATGTATTTTTTCAAATTAAAGAAAAATTTCATGAACTTACATGCAATATAAATATCAATAAAAGATATCCAATATAACTAGGATTTACCTCTACTAATTTGCTGATTTTCTTGGTATTTTCATATTTATCTGTGTATTATGTTATCCTGCATTGATTCATAGAAAAACTAAAACTCTTAACTTAAAAATATTTACTCTAGTTTAAATTATTATAATTACAGAGAACTTAAAAAAAGACAGATAACAAATTAAAACCATTTCGTTAAAATGTCCAAAATATGACATGTTTTTAAAACGGTAGCCATTAAAGATGGCGATAGTTGTACTGAATTATTGCAAACAGCAGCTTTTGAGATCACGCTAAAACATGGCGGAGAAACGCCGTTTTTTCTACACTGCCGAAACATTAATTGGCCGTTGGTACCGAATAGCGTAAGCGTTAATGTGTGTTTTTCGTAGACTTATGGCGTGCTTATTGTATCCGACTACGCTTTAGGGCCTAGGCTACCGACTGTGAAGAGTGTCATTTTCATACAAATTTAGTTTTCGACTTTCTACATACACTACTGTTAAGCCATCTTGGCTAGACCCCCAGGTATTCCATCTCATTCTTTTACACGTTCAATCCTACAGATATATATGTTTGTCTGTTTCTACATAACGCCTCAACTTTTCGTGTTACACTTGATTTTACTCCTCATAAAATTTCCGTACCGGGCCTTATAACTCAAATCGTTTCTTAAGGAGTAAACTCCAAAAACTAAACCGCCTTCAAATTGTCAGAACTAGACCAAATTTAAATCATCAAAATTGGTTCACCCAATCGAAAGTTATGAGGTAAGAAAACCAAATATATACGTTATATACAGTGAAATTGAGAACCTCCTCCTTTTTTTGAAGTCGGTTGACAAAATAGGTTTTTTACCTACCTACCTACTTACTGCATTTATATGGATTTGTGCTAATAGAGCTTTTAATGCAATTCTGAACGCGGCCCTGGTATCAACGAATCACATTTAGTTTTTATTTATTTACTGTATGTAAGGTACGTACAGTACATTCTGTTTCGGTTAATAGCCACCATCCACCATCTTCTCTTCCTCCATCTAGCTTCATGATTTTTTTTGCGCACATTAAGTAATTTTTTTTATAAGCTGAGCAAAAAATATTGCCGCAGCCGCGATCACCTCGGTATCCATTTTCGATAAACGTCATATCACAATAGTAGACAGTCAGTAAATGAAAGTTCACGATTGTGAGAATAGTTGCTCGATCATGGTGGTGATGATGGACGATCATTTGATTATGGCCCATTATTAACTTAAAGAACCTTAACCTCCCTCTTGACTCGCTACATAAAACATCATTGACTATTATAGTCCTAACTCTTCCGTCTTAACTCCATCTCGACTCCCTACAAAAACTCTTCAAGTTCATTATAATAAATTATAATAAAGTTTAACTCCTTCTCAACTGCTCACTACATAAACTTCTCTAAGTTTATTTAATAACCTTAAACTCCTTCTCGACTGCTCTCAACATGAAATTCCTTAAATTCACTTAAAAACCTTAATCTCCTCGACTACTCAATGATAAGTTAACTTTAATCTTATCCACTTGATACACAAAACATAGGAACTAATACTCTAATTAAGTATTGCCATTCCTACTCAAATCAGTCAAACTCAACTCAACTTATACATCATAACATAACAAACACAACTTCATATAGGTAACTTTAGACTCAACGCTTAAATTCAAAAACCACATACAACTTTTCATCTTTCATTTCCTAATCTTTCTCACCTTTTTTCCACATTCCATTATTTTATTATAAAACCAAAACCAAAATTCCAAACAACTATTAATACAAAACTATAAAAGAGACATAAAAGGATTTTAAAAAACTGCTGTAAATATTTTTGTATCAAAATAAATGATTACTTCTTACACGGTTTGTTTACAGTTTAATTAATAAACAGTTATATTTTTAAGGTCACCCCCATTGTTGAATTATCCTTGTCTCTTTTCAGTTATCTGTTATATCTATTGTAATGAACAAAAACAATTACTAGAAACATTGTTATTCTATCTTCAATATTGTCGAGTGTCGACTGTCGAGTGTCAAGTGTCAACATATAGTTGTCAGTTGACGATCTTAAACGTAGACGATCTTAGACGGTAGAACTTCTAAATGAAAATTACGAAACCGCCAGGCTCCAACCGGTGTGTCATGTACAGAATTTACCGACGTAAAATATTAGTAGAAAATTGTTAAATTGAAATGTATCAAACATTAAATAGTCTTACAATCGTGTGGTCATTCATAGTTTAATAATAATTTTGTCTGCTAATGCAGTACCTAGTGCACCATGATAACTCAAGTAACAGTAATAGTAACTGCGGTGAAATTATTGTTTATGCCGCTTTAGTAAGTTGTTATAAAATATAGAAAATATATTTAACTAATATGTTAGAAGATTTATATTAAACCTTTTTCTTTGTTTCAGTCGGTCAACAGATTTTGAGGTTCACAGAAATTGGTTAGCAATTACCCACAATAAGTCTATTGATCAGTGGTATTTTGAATCGACTTCAGAATGGACTCTAGATTATCCTCCGTTTTTTGCCTGGTTGGAGTGTGCTTTGTCACATGTAGCCAAATATTTTGACCCTGAGATGTTGAAGATTGAAAATTTATATTATGCCTCCGAGGTGACTGTAATATTTCAGAGATTATCTGTAATTGTTTTAGATCTATTTTATATTTACGGAGTGAAACAGTAAGTTTATGTTATTATCACTAACCTAGTTTTTACATCTAATCTAGTTCTAATAAATTAAAAAGAATAAAATTATGTTCCAGGTGTTCCGACTTGCTAGACAATGGGAAACTACTGGTATTTATATTATTGGTTGCTAATCCTGGATTATTAATGGTTGACCATATACATTTTCAGTATAATGGATTTTTATATGGACTAATGCTTATTTCCATTTCACATATGATTAAAGTAAGTAAATTATGTAATGTAAATTAAAGATTTCTTCATCACTTTGGCAAATTTTGTATTTTTTTTATTTTCAGGGTAATGTTATACAGACAGCATTATGGTTTGCAATTTTATTAAATTTTAAGCATATATATTTGTACATTGCACCAGTATATGTTGTATTTTTACTGCGTGCCTACTGCTTTACGGTCTCTTCTAAGGATGGTGTACATACTCCTTGGTACTCATTTTCATTCACTAATCTAACAAAGTTAGGTACTACAGTAATTGCTGTGTTTGCTCTTTCATTTGGACCTTTTATTCACCAATTACCACAGGTAAGGGTGTGATATCTAGAAATTTTATTATGTGAATAATTATTTCTTAATGCCATTTATTCTACAGTTATTTTCCAGGTTGTTTCCATTCAAAAGAGGGTTGTCCCATGCTTACTGGGCTCCAAACTTTTGGGCATTGTATAATTTTGCTGATAAAGTTTTGCTATTTTTATGTAAGTATAAATACATAATATTACTTGTGTGATAATAAACCCCGAACCCGAACTGATTATATGATCAACGTAGTATAATATAAAGCAGCATGCATTCACATGAGCCTCAAAAATTAACATGTTGAGTAGGGAAGGCTGATCACATCCTTACCTATAAACTGGGAATCTACCTAGAATGCCTTATATGACTATATACTCATATAAGGCATTCTACGGCAGACATAAAAATATTTATGACTGCTTAGTCAGCAGAATCTAAAAGAAGCATTACATTCATAACCGCTACACTAACAATGCTTTTTTTTTGCTATATGTAAACAACTAAAAAAATATGTAAATATCTTAATCTTATTATTTTAGTGAAAAAAATTGGATTCAAAGCATCAAGTAATGTGGCTTCTATGACTGGCGGTCTTGTGCAGGAGTTTGAACATTCAGTGTTGCCAACAGTAAGACCAAGTGTCACTTTTCTATTCACACTGATGTCAATGTTACCAGCGTTGATAAAACTATGGCACCTTGGGGCAGATAGGAGGTATCGAAATATGAGTTTTATAAGGTAATTATTGATTGCATATTTATCTACCCGACTAACGCCCAACCCAATAATCAATCCAACAACAAGGATAACAATCTGAGATCAGACCGTGACAGTCGATCGATCTCCTATCTGCATCCCAATAACCAAACCCTACGAAGACAATCCATTTTTGGCGACGGATAAAATGCTTTGTGCTTCCATTTCACTCACATTTGATAATCAATGTAAACCAAATAAAGTAAATAAAACCGTATAAATAACATTAAAATATACATGTGTATGTTTAAAACATAACAAACAGTTTTTTAATTATTTAAAAAACTCGTGTAAGTTAAAATCTGTTAAAATAATTAACTGTTGAAGTCGAGCTTTCGGCAACTGTCATTTTCATACAAAGGTATATCCACAGACACCGATACGACCTCCCATGGATAGTTTGTATCGACAGATGGCTATTACAATCCGTCGATTGGTTATTGGCACATTTGTTGCAACATTTGGATTAAAATTACTATCTCAGTTGGTGGATTATGGATTGAGATAGGTTGTTGGGTTCGGGCGTTAGTGGTTAATGTGCATGTTTCGTAATCTCAGCCTTAGATTGATTTTTAACAAAACAATAAATGTTTTGTCTTGGTTGGTAGAGAACCTGTCCAGAAAGAAACAGAAATGTATTCCTGTATGTCGAACTTGTATATGTTGTATAATGTAATATTTAATACTATCAAAAAGGAATTTTAGACTTCATTTTTAAGGGTCTAAAAATTACATATAAATTCTGGGAAGAATACAAAAATTTCAAAGACATATATTTAAAAATACACAATCAACAAATAGCAATTTGCCTTGCAATTTAATTTGTTAACCAATTAAAATTGTGGCTAAGACTTGTTTTTCTATGCTTTTGATTTGGGAACTGGGAATTTAAACTAAGACCCTTTTCTTACTAACATGTTACAGGTGTACATAGTACACCAATATATATAATAACTAGCAGACCGGCCAAGCGTTGCTGTGGCTAAGGTTTTTACATAGTAGCAAACTATTCAAGGGAAACGGTAGGAAAACACCAGTCATGGTGACCACCATGCTTTTTTGGTGGTTATGCCATTAAATTGTAGCTTATGTGAAACGTTGGTACTTTCAATACAGCGCCATCTGGTACAATTGTGACTATCATATAATAAACAAATATTTTGCAATAAAATAATATTGCGGGTATAAATTGAGATGTAAGCTATCCTATCTTTTAAGTTGGATCAATCTACACACGTTGTGCAAATTGAATTGAAATCGGTTAAGTAGTTTAGGAGTCCATAGCGGACAAACAACGTGACACGTAATTTATATATATTAAGAAGATTAATCTATATAATAAATTATTAATAATTAATAAAAACATTTTTTTAGGTGTTTGACGGTATGTGCATCATGTGCGTTCATGTTTGGTTGGCATGTTCATGAAAAAGCAATATTGATGGCACTAATACCACTGAGGTAAGATAATCACAAAATTGCTAATTCGCGCATAAATAGGCTGATTGAAAATATTTTCCATGGGCACTGAAAAAAATCTGATATTAACTCTAGTTCCTAGGAACCTATACCTTACAAAATCAAATAAAACATAATTTTAAGAACCCGCCAAAACGCTTTTCTAGACAAGATGGCGTCGCCAGTTGTCAAGTATTAATTGTCATTTTTGGATTAATTGACATTTAACGATATTAATCTCCATTCTCCAACTTTGGAATCGACTCCCGGTGTTATCTTTTCTGAGAGATTCTCAAATTGTTTAGGAAAGGAGTACATCCTCCCTTAAAGGCCGGCAACGCACCTACTAAAATAGGCCATGGGCTGCGTTGACAGCCTTTTTGGTCCTGATGACTGCCTTCTTTATGATTAGACAGGCGAAGACATTATTTACATGTCAATAGCAAGTCACGTTATCCGATTTTCACACTGTCAAATAACCTGTTGTATATGTCGCAGCCAACTAGCTTAGTTAGCCGTTCAATCAACAGCCTAGCCTCAACTAAATCAGCGCCGTTTAACTAGCGGCCTGAAAGATATTCAGTCAGTTGATCAACAGGATCAAACAGAAAGTGCCTTGGATCAATGACGATCGTAATGGCCTAAGAATTATTTATTAAATGTTGTTACAAACGCTACGACTGAATCAGGCCGCTAGTTAAACGGCGCTGTTTAGTTAAAAGGCTAGGCTGTTAATTGAACGGCTTTTAAGCTAGTTGGCTGCGACATATAGGTACACTGTTAAAATGTCAATGTCGTTTCCCTTATGGAGAAGTAACTCTACTTGACTTCTTATTATGACATTTGCATGCCTATTTATATATGGCTGATTGTGCGGACTTTTCTTGTTGTTCGATTTTTTTTAATTTTTATTTTGTACCACTATCTTGGCAAATAAAGGATTTATTATTATTATTATAACTACATACTCATGTATTATATTATTTTTCAGTTTCCTCTCCGTATTAGGTGAAGACGACGGAAAATGCTACTTAATACTATCAACTGCGGGACACTATTCGCTCTTTCCGCTGTTGTATCCAAAAAATCTTGGGGCAATAAAATTATTTTTACTATTGACACATTGTGCGATGGGATTCGTCAACGTACCCAGATTGTACGACGATCCGAAGACTAAAAAGCCTAGGAGACGGGGCTTTATGATTTTGCCAATGTTGAATTGGTACGAATCGTTATATTTGTATGGTTTCCTACTACTTTTCATTTACGATATATTGCATTCCTCTTTAGGGTTTGATAAAAGATTTCCCTTTTTACCACTAATGATAACCTCGTTGTATTGCTCGGTCGGAGTTATATATTCTTGGCTGACTTATTATTATTATTTTTTAACGTTTAACGTAAGCCGAGTTCCTACTTTATTAACCGCAAGGACTTTACGGTATCACAGGAAAGGTAAATAATTATCCAAAAATATGTGATGTAATTGCGTTCTTAACAAAAGGGTAATAAAACTGTCATGTTTAATTTATATTTATTAGTGGATTTAATAATTGAATGCTATTTGTATTGAGAGTATTCTTTTTTATAAATAAATTTTCATTACTACAGTCTTTTATTTTTGTACCTGTTAAAAAACAAATAGAATAGCTATTATAGAATGCTAATAGCTATGGCAGAAGTGAAAACTTTTTTATCAGTATAAAAGTACTATCATTTATGTGGTAGAATACAATATTTATTTATTGCGTTATCGTACACAAACATGACAATTTATATTACATTAAATACGCCGCGCCAGCTGTCTACTGTTCATCCGTCTTACGAATTTTCGATCAGGTCACGTGTCCTGACGCAAGTTTAATTTTTTTTACCCATTCAAAAAAAAGTGTACAACGTCGCTAAAGAAGTTTTTGATAGGGTGGACTAGTGGCTAAAGCAATTAATTAAAATGCAAAATAAATTGTAAAACATTGTGTTTACTTGTAAGAGAAAATATATGAACTGAATTAAATGACACCGCACATGTAAAAATAAAATAAAGATATTCCAAATTTAAATGCAGTTCATCAAAGACAATTATATGTGGACAGCACCATGACCTTCCAACAGTTTTCACTTCAAAAACAAAAGGTATATGAAATCGGAAGTTATTAATCTTAGAGCCTTTAAAATTTAAATAATCAGTGATTCCGTTACTGAGTTCTACATATAATAACCATTTATTATTAGAGATATCGTCACTTTTTGTAGGTACACAAAAGAAAAGTTATTGAAAAATGTCTACTGTGTCGATTAAATGTCATATAGAAGTGCTTTTATTGAGGTTATACTGTTATTGGATAGTATTATGAAGGTATATTTTTATACGTATAGTTTTCCTCTCCTCTTCTTGATTAAGCACACTTATTTTCTAAATAACCCTGTTTAGTTGGACTTTTTATAACTAGTTCAAAGTTTATGGAAGGTCAAAAGCTCTTCTCAAACAGCAAGTATTTATCTGAACTCTTGAATCTAGCATTTCTTTAGCACTGAAACCAAAGTCCTGTGAGCCCACGGAATATTAAAAGTACTTATTTCTTTTTATATATTATATTAAGGTTCACAAAAGAATGCGGACTGTACATGAATTAGGTACAATCTAGCCTACACAATAATTATGGCTAATAAGTAATTGGTAATAGCTTAAAGAATCTGGATAACCTGGACCAAACCAAATTATGTTGCTATTTATTTATATTTTATACCATAGTATTCGTTAACTATTTATTAAATAGATTATAATATTTTAAGATAGACAATATAAAAAAAGCAATAAACTTGCCAGGGCAATAAAATATTCAGATTTTAGAGAGATATATTAATAAAATAAAGTATATGGGTTTTAGTTAATATAAGTGTTGCATGATAAATATAGAAGTATCGATTATTGTCGGATCGGTTATAGTGGAGAAGCGCAATCCGGCCTTTCGATATTTTTTTTAATGACTCATTCCGGCTTCCGACGCCGGACCGGTGAAGTGGAGAAAGGGCTTGTTCTATAATGTTTTGAGGTTGTGTTCGTGTGTCACTACACTAGTACTTATTACTTAAAAGATTTACTTTTTTGGCGTCTTGTTCCTCTTATGAATTCATGATATTAATCTAATATATAAAATTCTCGTGTCACAGTTTTCGTTGCCATACTCCTCCAAAACGGCTCGACCGATTCTCATGAAATTTTGTGTGCATATTGGGTATGTCTGAGAATCGGACAACATCTATTTTTCATCCCCCTAAATGTTAAGGGTAGTCCACCCCTAAATGTTTATTTTTTATTTTTAGATATTTTTTTCTGTTTTTTATGATACAGCATTAAAAAATACATACAAACCCCTAACTTTCACCCCTCTACGATCAACCCCTATTTTTATATTATAAATGATATATATGACAAAACGACGTTTGCCCGGTCAGCTAGTTTATTTATAAAAGCTCGGTACACTGATACATTGGTACAAGAAAAGTTAAATACAATATTTAATGAGACAAGCATTTATAGTCAAACAAAAACACTTGATAAATAAAACTAAAGGAAAATGATTTCAATGTATGTGGGGAGCAACTATGGATATACCTACCAATCTGGATATCGGCGAGTTGGCCAAAACCCGTTCTTCTGAAAGGTGAGACAAATGGGTGGATATCATGGGGTATCTAGAGGACACGAAATTTAAATTTAGTGAAGGGTTAAGGCAATCAGTCTGATTCCAAAATATCTTAATTTCAAACGTACAATTAATTTTCTACGATTCTCCAATGACAACATCTTAAAGTGCGCTAGCCTGGTTTCGTATGTTGGCAACTCTTTTATTAACACAGACCATTTCCTTATTATTTCCACTAATTAAAATTGGTTTGACGATTAATTAAACTTATCAAAGCAAAATTAGGTACATATAAATAAATGTCGAATATTGCCGGAACACTGCGCTAAGTAAAGATCTGATGGCATGGCACAACGGGCATGATCAAAGGGCTTTGGCGCCTTGTGTGCCGAAGTGCGCAATCGGCTGTGAAGGTGAATTCAATGAATTAGCACCTGTCCCTTTGCGGTATAATTCTAATCTAGATGATTTTCTATTTCACCGATCTAATCCTTTTCTAAATGTACCTAATGTGGCGTTGTAAAATCATTCCTTTTGAGGAAAATTTGATTTGCGAAAGCTCTTTATCGTCGAATGCAGAAGCAGGACAAAGGAATTAAGTGCGTAATAAAAAAAACTACTTTGGAGCTAGAAACTGCGTGTTACCGACGAAATTAATTTTTGTCAAGAAAAATATTGTAAAAGAATTCATCCCGTCGTCTCCTTTCAAACAACGAGGTCGATTCGATTCCCGGCTGTGGATGGACTTCTTTTGTGTCGTAACGGCGAAGGAAAACATCTCTAAAAACCGGCTTGTCTAAGAGCGCGGCCACACGAACGGTGCCGCAATGTCGACGGCCGGCGTGTGTCAAGCACAGGAGGCTGATAGGTGATCTTGCCCATTAGATTGACAAATGATCATGAAGCAGATACAGAAATCTGAGGCCCAGATCGTATAGGTCGGGTAGTTTTTTTTAATAATCAATCACTAGACAGTTTGTTTACTTGAAGGTTTTATATAGAAATTCCATGCATTTGGTAAATTAACATATCTAACTTTATATTCTGTGGCGCCGCGAAGTTACCGTTGACGTCGTAAATTTTGCTAAACTTACAAACATGGCGATGAAAATTCGAATCACAAGTTATGACTATGAATAGCATTACGATAGATTTAAGAAAATAGTTGTTTGAAGTTCCGGGAATAAAGTAAATTGAATCGTAAATTTAAAATATTGTATGCGCGGATTTTTAGACGAAAATACAACTGAAATGCTAAAATATTCGTCTATGGAATGTTTATATTTATTTTTTCATGGGACAGGAGGCAAACAAACACTTAGAGTTAGTGTTTACCGCCCACGGACTCTGTAATACCAGCAAGTGATTTGTCGACCTTTATGGTAAGATAAGAAAAGTTCACATTTTAAGTTCAGATTGTCACACAATATTTGTCAGGGAATCTCTGAGATAAATTCAAGGAAATTAATATACTTACCTTTCCTTCGCAATATATTTATGAAAATATACTGCTCAAAACAATTAGCGGAACAAGATTTTTCTCCTTTCTATTGCTTAAACTAAAATTAGATTTAAATTAACTTGTACGCTATTTTTTACCTTGTTAATTACTACAATATTAATAAAAAAATTCAATTTGTATTTTTTTTATTAAAAAAAAATTAAAATGTGCATTGTAGACGAAAAACTAATTGGTGATAAAAAAGGTCCATCAAAGAAATATTCTTATATCGTTTGAATATTCGTCTTCAGTAACGTGTGTGGCTTCCATGAGCCCTAATCACGGCTTGACAACGACGCGGCATGCTTCGTATGATCCTCCGAATATCTTCTTGTGGAATTCGCTCCCATTCCACGTTATTAAATTTTCCGGAGTAAAAAACTCTCGGTACTCTTTTAAAATAGCAAATCATCAAACAATACTTATTTTAAAACAAATATCGCAAATTAAGTAGAAGTTGCCTGTCCAGCACTAGTCCCAGGCCCTTTTACCAACTAGATAATCGTTAACTTTATTGTAAGCCTTTTTGCACAGCTTTTCTTTAATACATTTCTTAAAATTATTAATAGGCAGAGATAAAAGAGCCTCTGGTATTTTATTAAAGAAGAGTATCTCTTTTCGAAAACACGCAATTACTAAGTTTAGATAGTCTACGGGAAAATTGCAGCCTGCGTTTGTTCCGAGTATTAACATTGTGCGTATGTTCTATTCTAGCAAACTTATCACTATTTTTGTTATTATTTATTAAAATGTTCTTTGTGCATTGTAGAAACGAAAAACAAAGTGACGTCTTTGAATTTTCATTACTTTCTAATCACAGAAAACACATTTTTGCGTTGATTGAAGCAACGCTTCAGTGAGCTGCTGCAGTGTTTGAGGTGCTATCGGACGCTTCCGGATGCGCCTGTCAAGCAAGTCCCAAATGTGTTCAATTGGATTTAGGTCAGGGCTCATGGAAGGCAACTCCATTACACGGATTTCCTGCTGTCGTAAGTAATCTGACGTGATGGCTGCAGTATGCGGCCTGGCATTATCTTGCATTAAAAGAAAATCTGGGCCCATACCATATGCTGCGGGCCAAACATGATCTTCGAGCACATTTTCAATGTAAGTTTGAGCACACAAGCGCCCGGGAACAACGAAGAGCTTCCAACAACCTATTTCTTACCGTCTGGTCGGAAATTTCTACACCAGTAGCCGTCCTTAGTGTATTTTGTAGATCTCTTGCAGTTGTGGTGCGGTTACGTAAAGCACAGTTGACGATGTAGCGATCTTGCAAACGTGTAGTTTTTCTCTTATGACCTTGACCACGCCT